CTCCTCCTCTACAACGTACCTCGGATTCATTGCTGATCATGGTTGGAGTTGTTTCTGCGTTTCGCGTTACTATCTTGGGACTTTTACTTGAATAACACTTACTTTTGCAATTACTCTTTCATTTTTTCTTTTTTTTTTTTTGCTTTAAAGTAATGAAAATATTTCTTTTCGTAAATTGTACACTTACCACCACCACCACCAATACTATCAAACGTGTTTATTATTGCATACTTTTTTCCTCCCCCAGCAAAAGATAATTGTGTAATGACTTTAGGTGTGACTTAATTTTATTTATAATATAATTTGTATGTACATTTTTGATTTCAGTGGTCAAAGGGAAGACAAAACTCATGGCGGAGGACTTGGTGATTCAAGCAGTGAATCCGGTGACGAAGCCAAAAGACAATCGGTCGTTCAACAACAACAGCAACAACAACAACAACCGTCAGCTTGTGCTGTTCAACAGCAACAACAACAACAGCAACAGCAACAACAACAAATGGTTGAACACCAACAAACGTCTAGCATGTACCAATTACCACCACCCGCTGCTGTATCCAGTCCTCACTCCTATCATCAGACTCATGGTACTAGTCTGAGTCATCCTCATACACCTACCCATCATATGCAACATCATGACACCAGCAGCGAGAGCGGTGACGACAAGAGAAACCTTCATCATCAGTTGCAACATCATCTTCAGGTTGGTGCACACGGTACCCATGGTTTGGTTCATCCTACGGCTACTTTACCACCACCGCCACCAAGTTGCGCTCAACAGAAGAGTCAACTTGATTATATGCAGTATTACAGCCCTCAGGTAAATTAATTCTCCTACTTTTATCTTTAATTATCTGCATAGAAAGAAAGAATTAAATTTTATTCTTTTGTTAAATCTTTTAATGCTGTGGGCGCATATATGCGTCCAACGAAACCAACCTGTACAGACTAAGGACACAGTTTGTTCAGCAATTTTTTTTCTTCTACTTTTTGCTTGAAATTCATATCTTTTTTAATAGTTTACATTAGTTGAAAAATCATGTCCTTTCCAAAGGATTAAATCAAAGATACTATCTAGGATTTGACAATATTAGATTATTCAAATAAACTCTATTTAGGTAGTTTGACATAACTATGTGTGTGTGTGTGTGTGTGTGTGATATAATAATCGTGAAAACAAGCATCGTTTTTTTTTGTTTGTTTTTAAAATGTTCGTAGGATTACCTGATAGGCACGCCCACCTCGGCGGATCTGCAGAAGTCGCTACCACACACGGCCACGTCAATGCAGATGGGTGCTATAGCACCAACGATGGGTGGCCTAAGCCCTATGGCACCTACGACGATGTTACAGAACACGATGCAGGGAGTGAACACAATGAATACCATGTCGATGAATGGTATGGGAATGGGAGCCTATCAAGGAATGGGTTCGATGGGGATGACAACTTCGCACGCTGGTTACCACAGTGGACTCGTCTTAGGCGATTATCATTCGTTGTGACCTTGGGCTCCTAATGGTCAAAGTAAAAGGAATCCAGAAAAAACTTAAAGGATTAACTCTATTCAACTTTCCCTTACAATTTCTCTCTCTCTCTCTCTCTCTCTCTCTCTCTCTCTTTCTCTCTCTCTCTCGTCATCGTCAAATGTATGTCAACACAGCCAATTAAAACAATCCGATATGTTCGTTCAACCATCCGATTGGTTTGTGCGGCACGTGATTTCCCCCACCACTACTCCTTGAACCCCCCACTCCGTTTATCACCAAAAAAAGTGGTGTTCACGATTTTGAGGACTCCTATTTTTACCCACCAACTGAGAAAATAAATAATTTAGGTCACAAATGTAATAATATAATTAATTATTTAGGTGAGAAAAGAAAATTTGTCATTTAATTTGATAATATCTCAGTTTTGATTAATAATGGAGTCTTTCGAAATGATTAAAACCACTTTTAAAAACGGTGAGATTTCGGTTTCGCGTACGTTTCCGGATAAAATAGCAAAAGACATGTTAGCATTTTTTTTCTTTATCTTCTTTATCTTTACTTTTTTTCTTTTTTTTTTTTTATTATAATATAACCCCTTTCTGCACGTAGCAATGATCACCAACTTACCACTATTACTGTAATTCTTTACATAAACACACACACACACACATAAATGCCTTTGTTCAAAGAACACATAGGTTCTTTTTATTTTTGCGATTCTTCTTAAAACTCTTTTATTTTGTAATATCTTTCACTCTTTGTAGCGTACTATTTGTAAGTTATCAAATAATAAGAAAAGGATAGCACAATCTGTAAGTGTAAGCGTGTAAGTGTGTAAAAGTGTTCGTTTACAGCGTTTATTATTTAGGACAAACTAAAAGTCATGTTATTTTTTTATAAATAATTTTTAATATTTAATATATATATATATATATAAATATAATATATATTTATATAATTTATTTTGTTTTTAAAAGGAGATACACTGTTAAAAATTGACTAATTTAACAGAATGTTGTGTAAACGAATCATTGCATATTAAATCGCACATTTAATTATAAACAAACAAAAAAACACACAATTATATTTTAATTTGTTATAACTTACACAAACAATTTACTTACACATTACACATACGTGCGGTACGCTTCTGTCCTGTCTGTCCTGTCTGTCTGTCTGTCTGTCTGTCTGTTTGTCCTTTGTCTATCTATCCTTAACTTTTTCCTGTATATATGTAGATATATATTAAACCACATATTCAAAACAACACACGTACATACACAAACACACTTTGTTTCTTAAGTTCACGATATGGAGGGTAAAGGTAAGGAGTAATAACATCTCTTATGGGAGAAAATGTGAAAAAGAAGAAGTGTCCAGCCTTTTCTATAAATAATAGTTCACAAACCTTCCCAGAATGGCGCTGGTGTAGACAGAAGGTATGATATGAATATAGTAATTGTAAACGAATTGAAGTATGCCGAGTTATGTAATAATGTAGTAAATATAACCTTAAAAAATGATTATGAGAAAACGTGTAGCTAAAGTGATTTTATTTTGTTAACTGTAAAATATTACGTTTATTGATTTTTGTAATCATTTAATTTGATGAAAAAGTATGTGAATAACAAGGACACTCTACAACTAGACTGAATAACAATCCTACTTTAATAATATTTGGCGCTTCCTTTAAAATCAACCCTCTAGCTACTGTGGCGCCACCCTAATTGAATACTACATTTCGACGGGGACACTTTTCATATACAGAAATGTTATTATTACTTCTTACCCTCTATCCTCCATAGAAAAATATTAACAAATGTATAACACACTCACATCCAACACACACAAACACAGGTATATATTTGTATTGTTAGTAAACAAACAAACAAACAAACAAATGAAATTCGCACAGTCTTCTTATTCGCTAAAAGTAAAAACAAAAAAGTAATGAAAAAAAAAAAAAGATAAGATAATTTAAATAACACCGTACCGTCGTCACAATCTATATAAGTTTTATTATTAGTGAAGTAAAAACAAAAAAAAAAAGAGAAAAAAAAAACAAAGTAAGTTATGATGGTCATTTATTCGCAATTCACGATCTTCTACTGTAAATAGAATTAAATATGTTTACATGAGTGAAAATAACGTATGTATGTATGTATGTATGTATGTATATGTGCAGGATGGATTATAAAAAAAAAGGGAGAAGAGTTTTTCTTGGTATGTATGATACAATTTTATCTGTTTCTCTTTCTCTCTCTGTCTCTCTCTGTCTCTCTTTTGGATGTGTTGTGTGCATGTAAATTGTACGCGTGAAAAAAATAATAAAATAATAAAATAATTATATATAAATATACATAGAAACATATATATATAGACAGCAGACAAGTTGTAGAGGAAAGAAGAGGAAATTAATTTTAAAAAAATAATAATAATAATAAAAAATTTTTATTATTGTTGCGTTTAAATTTTCCCATGAAAAGAAAATTAATAAAAGGGATGATTGATTGATTAATACACAAACAACCTCCTCTTTTCGTGCTAAAACAATCTAATGTCTTAATGAAAAATATTCCATTAAATTAACACTTTATAGGTTATGTTGTAAAGTTTGACAAGTAGAAGAAAACAATAATTTTAGTATGTATGTAAAAAAAAAAAAGGAAGAAAGAAAGATAAAGATAAAAACAATGTGTGATTGGTCGATAGTGAGGGGGGAAAAAAGAAAAAGGATCAAAGTTTGTTTAATATTTTGTTTTTTGATTTTATTTTGAGTTTTTTTTTTTTTTTAACTCAAGGATCCTCGGGACGAAACAGGGTAAGAAAGAATGTAAGATTATATTATTGGGTGTAATACACACACATACAGACACACACAAACACTGGCGTGAATTTTTTAAATAATATATGTATATATATATATATATATATACATATATATACAGGATGTTGTATTTTTTTTTAATTTACTATCATTGGTGATTAATTATTCAAATGCATGTAATATAACTGATTAACATTAGATATATACCACCATTTTCAGTATACCTATTTCTACCACACTAGTCAAAATAATTGGTGTACACCAGTAAAAAGTAAAAAAAAAACTGTAAATTTTTACAGTAATAAATAGTAAAAAAAAAAAAAAGAAATGCTTTTTAAGGTTTCCAATCTTTATTTAGTCTTAAAAAATAAGACAAAAATGTTTAACAATAATAATTTTAATAATTTACAGAAATCAAATGTTACTACATGAAGTAGCAGACAATTTTGAATTAAAATGACTCGATTACAGTCAAAATGACTGATCTGCTGGTGTATCTAGTGTTAATGATTAAAGTTTCATTATAGTTTTTATTTTTGTATTTTTATTTCATTTTTTTTTTATTATTTTATCTTTATATTGTACACCAGGTTTGTTAAATACGTTTATACAGTATGTTAAAAGAAACCTTATATATACATATATATATTGAAAAATATTTTTGCTAATTGTTAAAACCATTTAAAATGAATATAAATATTATAAAAATAAAAAATAAAAAATAAAAATAAATACAGTTTTATTACTGTATATGTATAATATACACTTCAATAACATAACAATTATTATTGTTATTATATATATATATATATATATATATA